GTGAAAGAGAAAAAGAGAGAAAGTAAGGAAGAAAAAGAAAGAAAGAGAAAGAAGGAGAGAGAGAGAGAGAGAGAGAGAGAGAGAGAGAGAGAGAGAGAGAGAGAGAGAGAGAGAGAGAGAGAGAGAGAGAGAGAGAGGAAGGGGAGACACGTAAAGAAATGAAAAGCCCGGCTGTACATTCCCCCGTAAGAGATCGTTAGTTGAAACTTATGAGCGTTTGTAGCTATTCGGTTGAAGCTACGTTTCCTCCCTTTCTATCCCTGTCTTTTCCTCTCTCCTCTTCCCCTCTTCTCCCTCTCCCTTTACTCTTTCTCCTCTTTGTCTCATCTCCCTCTCCCTTCCTTCCTTCTCCTCTTTATCTCATCTCCCTCTCCTTTCGCTCTTCCACTTCTTTGTCTCATCTCCCTTTCCAACCTCTCTTTCCCCTCTTCCTCTTCCTCTTCTCTATCTTTTGGCCCTTTCCGAAAGCCCTTCTCTTCCCTCTTTCTCTTCTTTCTCTCATCTCCATATCTGCCTATTCTTTCTCCTCTGCCACCCACCCACCCACCCTCCCTCCATCCCTCCTTCGCTCCGTTCCTCCGTTCCTCCCTCCTTCCCTCCGTTCCTCCATCCCTCCCACCCTCCCTCCTTCCCCCCCACCCCATTCCCCACTCCCTCCCCCCTACTCCCTCCCTCCCTTTCAGAAAGGAGGAATCTTCCAGCGTAGAATATTCTAAAGCTCTATGGCTACAATGTGAAGATTTCAGGAGGGGACGGAAAAGGTTTACAGTAGAGGCATGATAGATAGGTCCGAGAGAGAGAGAGAGAGAGGGAGGGAGAGAGAGAGAGAGAGAGAGAGAGAGAGAGAGAGAGAGAGAGAGAGAGAGAGAGAGAGAGAGAGAGAGAGAGAGAGAGAGAGAGAGAGAGAGAGAGAGGGAGGAAGGGAGAGAGAGAGTGAGTTAAGGGGGGGAGTGGGAGTGGGAGTGGGAGAGGGGATGGGAGAGGGGAAGGGAGAGGGAGAGGGAGGGAGAAGGAGGGAAGGAACGAGCGAAGGAAGGGAAGAAAGGAGGGAGTAAAATAATAGAGGAAAACAGAAAAGGGAAAACGGACAAGGGGACAAAAGAGGGGAATGGAGCAAAAGGAGTAAAAGAGGGGAAACGAAAGGGAAAAAGGAAGAGCTTCGAAGGGGGGCGGGAGGGCAGAAGACGTAAGGGGAGACGAAAAGAAAGATGAAAGAAATAGACAGAGACACAGGGAAAAAAGTGGATGAGAGAAGAGGGGAAGAGAGAGAGACAGGGTAAAAACGGAGAGAGAAAAAGAGGATAGGGACACAGAGAGGGGCGAGGGAGGACGACAAAGGGGGAGGAAAATGAGAAAATCAGAAAGGAAAAGGAAAAGATAAACTTGGAAAAGAGAACCAATCGAAAAGGAATGAGAGAACAATAGAGAACACGAAAGCGAAAGAAAGAGAAAGAGAAAGAGAGAAAAAATAGAATAATAGAAAATAGAAAAGAGAAGAGAGAAAGACGCAAGAGCAAGAGAAACAAGATGAGAAAACAGAAAGAGAAAAAATGGAAAGAGAAAGAAAAAGAGAAAAAGACAAAGACAAAAAACAAGAGAAAGAGAAAGAGAAAGAGAAAAAGAAAAAGATAACGAGAGAAAGAACGAAAGAGAGAGAGAGAGAGAGAGAGAAAGAGGAGGGGGCGGGGGAGGGGGGGATTATCCCTCCCTTCCTCCCCAGATGGTTATGGTCGGAGACAAGCCCCGGGTTCTTTTAATTGCCGACGCAGACAGCTGGTGTTCTTCCTCCGCGACGGGTTACTCTGTCTTATTGTTATCCTTGCCTCGATTTTACTTAGTGTTGGATCCCCTTTTAACATTATCGTTATTGCTATCGTATTTCTCTCCTCCTCCTTCTCCTCTTCTTCCTCTTCTTCTTCTTCGTTTCTTTTTTTTTTCTTTTTCTTTCCTTCTTCTCATTTTCTTTGGAATCGGTCTTGGAAGGTATAATCGTCGCCATCATCGCTTGGGTAATGTGCTACGACCCCCTCCCCCCTTCCCCTCCCCTATCCCCATCTCCTCTCTCTCTCTCTCTCTCTCTCACTTCTCTGATTTTCTCTTATTTCTGTCTCCTTATTTCTTATCTATTCTATCGCTATCTTCATTCCATACTCTCTAGTAACCTAATCTATCTATCTATCTATCTATCTATCTATCTACCTATCTATCTTCCTATCTCCCAACTTCACTTCCCTCAGCATCTCAGTTCGAAACGACTCCCCCCCCCACCGCCCATCTCCCAGCATCCTCCCAACACTCCCCCCCCACCCTATTAAACCCAAACCAGAATATTCTACCCATTTACCCATCCGGGTCTTCATCCTAACCCCTCCCCCCCCCCCCCTCCCCCCACGCGTTTCCCCCTTCCAGCCATTTTACTTTCAGTTTTATTCATTTTATCTCCATTTGTATTCCCTCTTCGCTAATTACACGTTCTAATGACCTCAAATTACCTCGTTTTCCTTAACCCTATGGGATCGGGGTGGTTAGTCTTTTTTTCTTTCTCTTATTCCCCTTCTGTGTCTTGGTACTTCTCGATAAATCTTCCCTTTATTGATTGTCCCTATCTCCTCCTCCTTCTTCCTTCTTCCTCTTCTTGTTCTTGTTCTTCTTCCTCTTTTTCTTCATCTTGACTCCTTTCTATTTTTTTTTTCTCTCTCTATTGTCTTTCTTCTTTGTCTTCTCTTTATTGGGTCTATTCCTACTATTCTTTTCATTGGGGATTTATTTTCCACCATCAAAAATTACTTTTCTTATCTTTTTCTGTATTTTTCACGAAAAGGATATTTTTTTCCTACTCGAAAACAATAATAAGAATGATAATAAACAGATAATAGTAATTATTCTAACAATACCCCGAAACAGAATCACTTTCATGCATATCATAATTGCAATATTGCAGACCGCGGACACGGCAACCAACACAACTCAAACCCATCGCAAATTAACTACAAAATCCACAAGCGCCCACGGAAACCGACGTATCACGCCCACCCGCCCACCAGCCCACCTCCCCCTCCCCTCCCCTCTCCTCCCCTCGTTCCTTAGCTCCCATCCTCCAGTCTCCCTTTCCCCTTTGCCTCAATCCTCTATCCTCCTCATCCCCACTCTAGCCTCCCCCCTCTCCTATCCCTTTCTCTAACACCTATCCTCACTATCCTCATTCCCTCCCACCCACCTGACCACCTTAGCCATACCCCACCTACTCGCCCACCCACCCACCTACTAACCCCATCCACTTACCCTCTACCCAACCCCCACCCACCCCTTCACTCTACCCCACCCACCATCCTCTTTCCTACCCCCTCCACCCCACCCCAACCTCCACCCACTCGCCCACCTCCTCCTTAACCCCTCTACCCACCCCACCCACCTTCCCACCATCCCCCACCCCACCCCCAGCCCACCTATCGTAACGTCCGCGGTAACAGGCGAGGCTAGAGCGGACATGACATTAATTGCGAACTTACACGCCGCTACAGAGCTCAATGTTGCCTCCGTGTGGGCGCCTCTGATACCGCCTTGTTCGCCTGCTCGTCCCGCCCGTTGTATACATACAGTGGGAATGGCAATATGCTTTTGTGTCCGAGGTGTGGGCGGGAGAGGTGTGTGTGTAAGGGTTGGATGCGTGTCTCTGTTTGTGTGTCTGTGTGTGTTAGGTGAGCGTGTTTGGTGTGTGTGTTAGGGGTGACTGTGTGTTTGAGTGTGAGTGTGAGTGTGAATGTGTGAGTGAGTGAGTGAGTGAGTGAGTGAGTGAGTGAGTGAGTGAGTGAGTGAGTGAGTGAGTGAGTGTGTGTGTGTCAGTGAGTGAGTGAGTGAGTGAGTGAGTGAGTGAGTGAGTGAGTGAGTGAGTGAGTGAGTGAGTGAGTGAGTGCGTGTGTGTGTACGCTCGCACAAACGTGAACATCTGCGTTGATAGCGTGTTAGGTTGTGCAGCGAGCACGCCTTTGTGGGCGTTACATCATGTTCTGCCTAATAAACGCGTATGGCTTCATTCGCGTTACGCTATCTTCTGTCCCGTCCGTACCCTGACGTGCGTGCGCGCGCGCGTTTTCTAAGCATCATGTAGCGCGAATTACACGTCGAGCGATGTACAGCGGAGGACGAAAAAGAATCATAATTTGACATTTACATCACCACCGCTCTCCTGTCCAATAAAATAATTTTATACAGCGCGGAATCATTTTTTTCTCTACCCCCCTCCCCCCCACCCTCCCTCCAGCATACCCCGCATCCGAAATCATGGACATACCTCGACATACCCGCCACGAACTCTTCCCCCCCCCCCCCCCCCCCCGGAAGCGGCCGACGGAAACGAACACCGAGAGAGTGTATTATCGTACGAATCCCGCGGGACATCGGCTTCTACGTTCGTACACCTTGCTGAGCGCTGTTTTCCGTAACTTTTCACTTATTCCCTGATTGTATACTTGCTGTTGTATTCCATTATCATTTCGCATATCCTTAAAGGCAAGAGGGCTATTCGCTGATTCAATTAACTATCCTGGAGTGCCCAAAGTACAGAAACAAAAGCTCACATGGTGGCTACAGCGAGGGACAAGAGGAAGCTTTATTCTCTCCTACGCACATAAGTAGGAAAGAAAAAAGATATATATAATAATAGATTGATAGACCAATATATTCACACACACAAACATTCATACACACAAAGATAAACAGACTAAACTACTCTCAAATACACACATACAGACATCGGCGTACAGACACAAAGACATACTAAAATACTCATCCACACACACAGACACACGTAAAAAACATACATACATACAAACAAACAAAGACAAACATTTACACACTTACAAACAAAGACAGACCTACAATACTGTACAATTAGGACAAACAAGACATACACAACTACCCAGACACACAGACACACACACGAATTCGTACACACACACGCACACAAACGAACACACACACGGTTGCGGGTCCATACGTACTACAGATCTGCCGTTGCTGCCAGAAGACGCTCCTGCGCTTAC